CCTCATTCGCGGCTAGCAGGATCCCGATAATATAGCATATAATAGTTATGTTCTAGTATATTATAGCTACATTATAGGTATCTCCCAGTGTGTTATAATTGTATAAAGCCTCAACCACAACCTTGCGCCCCCCAGCCTCTTGAGAGGCATAGTCCAGGCGCACAGCACGAAGCGCCGTGACCTTGGTCTTTCAGCGCTTTTGAAGTGCAAGGCTAGGGTTGAGGGTTTATATAACTGTAATATTTTTATACTAGAATATACCTATAATGTAACTATAAATATACTATTATATACTGTAGTAGGGTTCCATGCCATGTCCAAAGGAATGGAAACAAACAGATTTGGAAGTTTGCGTCTTCATCTGGTCGCTGTACACAGCTGATCTGGTGACTCTCGCCACATTTTTGCATCTCCGTGCTTTTGTGCACTACATGCCGCCGGCGTGCGGCATTTGTGATGGAGCTGAGGAAGGAAGAGAAGAGGGCCAAGGCCACGAGGACCACGCAAATGGCAAACCTGAGTTGTAATTGCCCTCAAGCTACGCAGAAAACGAGCTTACGTCGAAGATGATCTTGTAGCCTTAACCAATCCAGCATGAACTACTGGGACGAAACTTCAAGCTACAGGGCTTCATAAATACGTACAGCCCTTGCGGTTCACTGAGGGTTTCTGATTTTGATCCTTACTTGTCATCACAGCCTTCCTCATGTGACGTTTTGCACCAACCTCGTCGTACGTGCTGGATGCAATGTGCTTCCAAGGCGCAATCGCTCAAATGTATTGATGGGGCCGATGTTGTTGGTGGCAGGTGTAAACTGCGTGAGACTCCAATGCAGGGAAATGGCCTCATTCAAGCAAAGCAAAGAACTTGTTGCAGGCTCCTTCCGCAGATGACCAGATGAACGCCCCCGGAGAGGTGAGGGTTTCTTAACATGGGGTTCCCTCAGGACCCGGGATCTTTCAGACACATTCTACCAAAAGGCGAGGCTTGACTCGCGGCCTGACTCCAGCTGCCAAGGCGCGTATGTCTCCCAGAAACGTGTGTCCTGGATGCTATGGGAAGGGAAAAAGATTAGAATGAGGTTTTCCTCTGAAGGAGCCAAGAGGAAGAATGAAGAGGCTGAAGGACACCCCTTCATAGTTTTATGGTATCCCCGAGAATTCTACCTCTTAGGTATGCGAATCTGTGAGCAAATAAGTGTCCCAGCAGGCTGCCAGGCAGAGGTAGCTTACAAAGAATGAGCCAGGAGGCACTTATGACATATGGGTGGTTGTCAAAATTATTGTCCCTTTTTGGGTACCCTAAAAATTATAGGCGGCGTATTATAATAGGGATCTACAAAGGGCCCATAAATTTGACAACCACCCATATGAGGGTCGTCATTTCTTTGGATCAACACCCCGCCACAAGCATTTCTCATTGAAGGAACCCCTGAAAACTTGGAGGTCCCTATCGCGGTCCTCAACATCATATTCAGCGAGCCAATTTCGAAGGCCATCCTGCTTGCCTCGCCGATGGTGGTTGAGTGGGAACCAGGGGTTTGGATTGAAGCAATGCAAAGGATATGTATCTCACCTGGGGGTCTCTTGGACAGAGCCAGGAAATTGAATCAAAGAACCACTAGAATCTATTGCATGCAACGCGCTTGGGACTCGTAAGCGCGAGATCAAGACCTATTTCTTCGTCACAGGCCTCGGACTGACTAACTACACCACATCTTTGTAGTTCCCCGCTAGCTACAGAAGTCCTCAACTCTAAGAACCCCTGGGGAAACGTAAGCAAAGCTAGTTCGAGTCATGGCAACACACTGGTAGCCTGCTCGGCGGGCTTGGCAAAGTCCAGCCCCCAGAGTTTTCTCCAAACTCGCGAAAGACTTGCTACGGTAGGCTCCCCACCTTGTATCCCGATGGCCATGAAGAAAATTGCCAAGTAGTGATTCACCTGAGAGAAGGCGGAGGTCCAGAACCCAAAGCTGTAGGGAAAGCTTCCCAAAAGGGTCCATGTAGCTACATGCTATACACTTGGGCCTTGGAGTAGGTATATGAGAACCCCTTTTAAGTGATTCGAGTTTCGAGCCGAGAAGAAACCCTGGCAGAAAGCCAACAAAAGAAGAAAACATTCTCCCTCTCCATTGCCACACGGAGGGCCTACAAGGACTCTCACACTCCCCCCGGAAAGGGCAATCAAACCAACATCCATGGATGCATGGCCGCCTTTCCACTTAGCCGATAACCCTTCTTAGGTTCTCACAGGAGACCAGGGAAGCGTTGCGTTGAAGAGAGGCATGCTTACCCATTCCACATAAGTTTACGGTGGTGATACGGGAAGTAAGTGTCCCCAAATGCTGGACAAGTGTCTCAAAGGAAAGAACAATTAACCGGCTTGCCCCTAAATCGGATGACTATATGGCTCTTCAAGTGCTACAGTGCAGGGAGGGGGTTACAGACTCATGTAGGCCCTCTCATGCTCAGTTTCTACCCACCTGGGAACGACCATACCCCAGAAATCCTATCCCCGTTTAGGGCTTAGGGTTTTTCACTTCAGCTTGACTGGGGGAAGAACCTTTCCACAATCGACTTTTGAAGCGACTGCCTGGAAAGAAGCCCATAGCTCGCACTTAGCACATTCGGCTGAGAGCCGAGCTTTAGACCTGGTTCCCAAAGTTAGAGGTACCATATGTTTAAAGGGGATATGGTTTATATGTGGGGGTCATATCATATGGGGCTGCCGAAAATGAGGGGTACGGGATATAGGGTTATATAGGTGTTGAAAAGGGTTTAGGGGTTCCGAAAAGAGGGTTTCCCATAATAGGGATTATGGTATATTAGGGTCTATATGGAGGCCCCCCTATTTATGGAAACTCTCATGTGCGCCTACCAACGCTGTGAAGAATAAAAAAAGTATCAACACATAATTACCCCTCTACACCAATCCTGAAAAAGGCAATTCAAACATAGAGGGTGCCCCCGCTCATATGCCAAAGGCTATGGCAACCCTTTGTATACAGACCTCCCAGAAGGGGACCGTCATTGTTGGAGACCCCCTTGTCCCTTTCAAAATTAATTATAGACAAGGCTACTGAGCGATCTGCGTATTCTGTCGGGGGATCCATTGAAAAGGACAATACTGGTTGAAGATCCCCCATGGGTGGTTGTCAAAACAATGGTCCCTTTTTAAGGTACCCTAAATATTTTAGGTGCCGTATTCTAATAGAATACCCCAAAAAGGACCAAAATTTTGACCACCACCCCCATGGGTTGCCAAAGCAAAGGCACGACAAGGATGAAGACCATCCCGCTTGCGATCTTGGCCGTGAGCCAGAAAGTGAGCCTCAGATGGTAGTTTCCATTTTATTTTCCATTATCCCAATATAACCTTAACACTACCCAAATGGGTACCCATATTCCCTATATAAATCTAGTACTGTACTGGGGCCGAAAGAAATAGCAACGAGGTCTATTTCCTATAACATGAGCACATTCAAACAAGGAATCTGGGACCATAACATCGGTAATCATTCACACCTCTACTCTGCAGCAAATGGATTGTGGGGTTTGGGGTTTGATGTCGAGGGCTTCGGGTGGATTAGTTTGTTTGGGAGGGGTGGGCTACGAAGGTGGTCGTCCCATGGCAGACGTGTCCAAATGGGCCATCGTGCGCCAGTTTCCTCCGTCATGAGGCTGCTCAGATCAGCTTGCACTACGAAGCATGGCACAACAGAGAAAGGGCCGTCCACAACATGTCGGCGAGAAATCGACGACTTCTGCTTCAGAGCTCGCAGCTAACATTACTTTTTCCACAAAGCAGGGACGTGTCTGGTGGCCGCCTTCTTGGCTAAGGCCCTTTGGGCGGGAAATTAAAATGAATTTAAGAAGCTTCGAGGCTCGGTTGGGCCGGGGCTCACAGTCTTGTTCGCCCGGTTCCCAGCTAAGCAAGCAAAAGCCAACGGGGCTGCAGTTGGTCAAGCTGCCCCATTCGCCCCTTATTTGGGGATTTGCAAAACATGGTCCCGTCCTCTGCCACTACACAAAAGATCTGTGATTACTGATGATTTTGGAGGGACAGCAAAAAGAGAAGTTAATGAGCCAAAGTTTTTACATGGCATGCAGGCTAACACTAGCATAAAGCCAGTGTGAGATCAGTGAAGGCCTAGCTCAAGCAGCTTTGCCCCCGTGCGGCCACGTCAAACTTGACGCCAGTCACAGCCTTCGCCATGCAGGTTAATGTAGACCCATGATTAGTAAACCCCCCTCCGTGTAAGGGTCTTAATATTAGGATCCCCATGATAATCCCTATTAAGGGGCCCAACAGTTTATGTGCTCTCTCCTTAAGCCCTTTCACTATGGGAACTTAATCCTCTTTCCCCCCCAAAAAAAGGCATAAGGCCTGATCAGGGTCTGTTTTTGCATGAAGTTTGGTGCAGACTAGTAAGGGGTGGGGGTGAGTGCAGGATCCCACTATGGAGGGAAGTTGAGGGGGAATGATTGTAACCTTCCTCTGAGTTTGTTGCGCAAAGATGTCTGAATCTTACGTTGGGCTTCCGCTTTCCGAACATGACCATCTATCCTACTAGTCTCGGGTGATCCCAGCTTTCTCAGACTGGAGGTTCATCTGCTTCTGTAGATTTATACATTCTCGCCGCCGACCCCGGCATCATCACTGCAAGGCAGTCAGCCCTAGTTCTATACTATTAGGGGTTTAGGGTTTAGGATTACAAGCATGTAGGCTTCTTATCTACGACTGAGAACCTCTTAATCCTTAGCTTTCAGCCGCAGTTCCTAAACCACGGAACTTGATTGTTCATGCGCCAATGTTTGGGTCCTAACTTTTAGGGTCGTGCACTTTGAAAAAGCCAGAAGACAACAGGACCATGATTTGGATACAAACACGCATGCATTACCCTCTGCAGTAGTCCCTACGTTCACTCTCTCTAAACCCTAAACCCCTCAATCCCCTAAACCCTAAATAGTAGTTTCCATGTTCTTGTCCATGTCCCCCTTTAAGCACACAAGTAAGGCCCGCAAGGTGCCTCGCTGGCAGCCCAAAGCATGTCCTGGGCCTCTGCATCGGCAAGGGGCTCCTGCTTCGCTGTCTGCTATGCCTCTTAAGGATGTTGTGACAAGATTGACAAGAAGAAGTCTATGGGTTACATGGGGACATGCAGGGCTTAGGGCTTAGGCTTTCCAAAACTGGGAGCCCCTCATAATTGAGGGGCTACTATAGATACTAGGGTCCATGCAGTAGAAGTAGTATGTAGTGGCAGCACCAGTTTCAGCATTGTTGTGTTGGTCTGTCGTTGAAGCAGGTAGTGTGGGGGCATGCCGGGTTTAGAGTCATACCTCCAACATTGAAGCTGCGACTTGTGCTAGTGGCACCCTGTCTTTTAGCTTGTTTCTTCGCTACGAGAAGGCATTGCGTGTGTTTTGTCTGCGGTTCTGACGCATTCCAGTGCTATACCTGCTACCACGAAAGTCTGTGCTTCCACCCGCAGGGCGCTCCTTCTTGAGGACCCCCACGGGCCCCTTGTACTCACCGCTGTCATGGCTTCCAGTAGCGCCTCCCTTGCCCAGTGGGCCGTAGAACTCGCCGGATTTTGCCTCGGCCGTCTCTAGTGGGAACCCTGAAGAATAGTGTGGAACTGGGGCGACCAAAAACCTGTGCTGAAGCTGCAAGGCAGGCAGGACTAAGAACTCCTGATCTGAAACTGCATCAAAGATCATCACGAGAACAGGTATCTTCGATGTTACCCCAAAATCTGCGGGAACAGGGACTCTTGAATGAACATTTCCCTGCTGCCGAAAACCACTCATCCTTGATTTAGACTATTCCCTTCGAAGACCAAGGATGAAGCAACACACCCAAAATAAGAGACCATGAACCAACCAATGAGGAGTATCATAATGCCTGATAGTAACCCTCGCACACCCGCAACGAATTTTCCAGTATGACCTACCGTCGCACACTGGGCATGCATGTGCAAATAGGGGCCAACTCACACATTGCCTAAATCCTCAACTCTGCAAACTCTACATCCCGCAACCTGAGCCCAACCTAAGAAAAAGCCAAGCTGATACCCCAAACCCTCGACACGTTCTGTAATAGCTTCTATTTTCTGTTCCATTCCTGCTTATACATCCCTACGTAGTCCGTAAAATGGTCCCTATGCCCCAATTTCCCACACCCCCGGTAGTACTAATAGTAGTAGTACTAGTAATAGTAATAGTAATCGTAATAATGGTAATAAGAATATTAAGATTACTTCTAATAATACTTCATCATACTTGTAGTAATACACGGGTTTCTGAAAGCGTGGCAGCCTCAGGGTCACAAGCGTTTCGGAGGATGCCAACGGCACCGTCCTCCTCGGACTGGTACCTCGGGATTACTGGGATGTTGTTGAGGAACTTAGTGTAAGTTACTATATTGCTGGAAACCATATCAAAAACTATATGTATATACACCCATTATGGTAACTTAATTTAAGTTCCTTAACAGCAACCCAGATTAGGAGAGACCATCACGGTACCTTTCATTGGGGCTATTGGGCCTCTAATACTAGAGGGTAGTTGGAGGTTCCAGGAATGGAGAATCAAATGGAAAATGAACTGGAGACTTGGGTTCATAGTATACAAAGTCACCACAACGCAAGCCGAGAGGCATGACCTTGAAGTAGAGCTTGCTGACCCACTTGGGATAGCGCTCCAGATCTGATCGAGTACATGGATTTGGGTTTTGGGGACGCTGAGGGGGCTCAGGGTCTAGATTGCGGGCTCAGGGGCACGTTATATCCAACTAAGTCATGAAAAACTACACTCACGGAGAAGTGGCCAGCGGTTCAAAACTCTTCCAGAGCCTCAGCATCTTATGCACCTTTCTAGCTTCTTGGGAGACTGAATATATCTCCTTCAAGACTATACAGGAAACAACTTCTATGTTCTTCTTCAGGTTCTTCACCCGCTCTGATCCCCAAACCCAGAGGGGAAACCTGCGGCTCCCCCAGCGTTCATGGTGCCCTGCGTCAGGGACGTCGGAGCCACTCCCGGGTGGGCCACCAAGGACTTCACCTGGCTCTTCGGAGAATGCGGGGGGAATCCAACAGATGATCGTAAGGCCCTGGGAAAGGACCCTAGTTTAGGATTTAGGGTTCATAAACGTCTGAATTCCTAGTATCCTCCCTAAGTAGTCCCCTACATAATTCTCTATATTAACCGCCTGAAGGCCCCTTAAAAACCTCTATAGAGTAGTCCCCTAGATAGTCCTCTATATAACCCGCCTTCAGGACTTAAACCCTAGAGGAGCTGATTGTTAGCCCCTTCATCCACAGCTCCTTGCCCCAAACTTCCGACTCCTGCTTAGGATTTAGGGTTTAGGCTTCAGGGTTTAGGGTTTAGGGTGAAAGGTAAAGATGGGTGGGCATCGCCTGAAAGGCATTTATATATATATATATATGGGGGTTTCCAAAAATTGAGGGTACCTTTTTTGGGGGGTCCTCATAATAAGGATTACAACGTATTTTGGGGTCTATATTGGGGTCCCCCTATTGGGGGAAACTATCATATAGTGGTCCCCGTATGAAGTCTCTCAGAATCTATTTAGACCTCCCATTGAAGACTTCCCACCTGACAACTACCCGGCTGAAGCTTTGGACTGTCTGGTACGCAGGAGGGAGGGGAAGGTTTAGGATTTAGGGATGAGAGGCCTATCATTACTTCAGATTATAACGGGACTAAAACACAATCTTCTCGTTACACACGAAGAAGCAACAAGTACACTGGATTATCTCCAAAACCCTCGACTCCTATCTCCAAAGCCGCATCCCGATCACTCATAAAACCTCATCCCAAATCCTGAAGCCTGAAGCACCCCAACCCTAAACCTCCCATTCTACACGACTTATAACACCCTTGTCTCTAAAACCCCAAGCCCAAAACCCTACGTGGTAGTTTTCAAACATAGGTGACCCAACATAGACCCGAAAATACTACATGATGCTTTTTCTAGGGACCCCCCAAGTAGGTACCCCTAAACCCCCATGTGAGCAATAGTCTGAATTCGTGGTATCCCCCTTAATATCCCCTACAATACCCCCCCGTATAGCCCCCTTGAAGGAATTCAGGCTATAGCTCATGCATCCCAAAAAGCTGAACCGGGCCCCTACCCAAAGAGCTCCTACCTTGGAGCCCTGTTTCTGCAGGCGCTCGTGGAGCGCGTAGGTGAAGACTACGTTAGCCAGCTTACCTTGGCTGTAGGCTCGGGGGGCTGTGGGAGCAAGGGAATATCTATAGGGTTTAGGGCTTGAGGGTTGTGAGGGTTTAGGGTTTTTAGGGTTTAATGTTTAGGGGTTGATGGTTTCTATCGCTTCTGGGGTCTACTGGGACGTCTGGGCAAGGGGGTAGGATTTCAGGTTTGGGATTCAGGGTCACTGTCCGGGGCTTGTGGGCATGTCTTCACGGAAGCTCTGTGCCAACATTCTGCGGGGATCAGGTATATGCACGCATTGGGCTAGGTATTGGGCTTGACAGGGCCAAAAAAGGCTAAGATTCTGGGATTGTACGAGGCTGAGGTGTTAAAGGGATAGAGGGATCTTGGCCTTCAGGGCATAGTCTCACCAGAAGTGTTTGGTAGAACTACGCCTAGAAGTTGTGGTGACACTGGCTGATTTTGACTCGTTGGCAAGACAGCAATGGAGTAAGAGTTCGGTAAAAGCGAGAAAGCATACCTCCACCCCAGGCTCGCCAAGATTTGAAGCCCCTGAATCCCAAGTGATTCACCTGAGGGATTTGAGGTCAGGTTCCACAATGTAATAACATGAACATATTTGCGCGCGACGGCTATCCACGCCTCTGTTGCATTTGATGGTCTCAAGATGTCTCAGTTGCATGTGACATTGGAAACTTCACCGAACCCTCCAGCTAATTCATTATCCAGACATGTATGTAAGGGATCGCAAGAAACCGAAATCGTTGTTACCGTAACCTCAATATACTATACTGTAGTGGTTTCCAACAACCCTAGATAACCCCAATATACCATAGTGGTTTCCATTTTCTGTTCCACTATCCCTAGAGGCCCCAAGCCCATGTCGATGATGGTCTATAGATAGCAAAGCACACGGCAGTCAGGATGCTCTGCTGATAGCGGACGAAGTTGGCTCCCCGCATGATGGTGTTGCTGTCTCCACCCAAGTTGCCTCCGTTCCTAGGCTTTCAGGGGTCACCTCCATGGTAGTCTAAGCTAGTCATTGAACAGTTGTAGGTGTCCCAACTTGGCTTCCGAGAATACCGCGGCTTCGGAAGTTTGTGTCAAAGACACTCGTCTGAAGAACTGGGAGGCTATAAAATTGTACAGCAAATAGCATGATGTTTGGTGACGTGTGCCCCGGAACCCCTTCTACATCTTTAAACGTAGCGCGGCGCCATGAAACAGAATCTGCTCCAAATGGATTTTGCTGTAGTGTGCTCTCATCTCAGCCTTGCATACCCGCAGCCGAAAAACTCCTCTTTGCCGTGCCCCCACCAAACTTACATACCCGAAATCAAACAACTCAAAAATCATTGACCCTAAACCCTAATTAATAGTTTCCATGTTCTTTTCCATTCTCCCCATATTCCCCTATATCATCCCAATGTTAAAGACCCAGCTTCTTCTGCAGGTACTTCTCCTGCAGCCTTTGGTCCCCAAACTCTGGGCCATCGATGACGCGCGCGCAACTGGAGTGGTTGATGACCCTGGCCTCCCCTCGCAAAGAGGCCGCCTCCATGGGGTTGAGGCTTTAGGGGTTTAGAGGGTTTAGGGATTTAGGGGGTTAAGGGGGTCTCGGGTTTAGGGCCTAGGGGCCTCAATGGGGGAAACCATAACTTAGGGGTACTGCAGGTACCCTTATAGGGCTCCCTGTAACAAGGATGATGATATTTTGGGTCTGTATTGGCATGCCCCTATTCAGGGAAACCGCCTCAAATCCAAGCTACTTCTCAAGTGCTAGTGCGATTGAATGGTGGAGTGGGATACTCAACTTGCTGGTTGTACCATCTTACAGATACGGACTTGGTAGGCTCTGTATCAGAACATCTGAGCTACAGCTTCAAGAGATGGGTTTTGAGATAGGGACCGGGACCTCTGAATCTATGAACAACTTCTAACGTCGAGTCTCTGCCTACATCCAGTGTGAATATCAGCCGGCATAACGGTCGGCGACTGAAACTGCAACTGTTTCAGTACCACCAAACAATTGTTCAAGCACGCGCAGGATTGCATTCCCGCCTTGGTTGGGGTCTTTTCCTAGCACTACATGAGACTCACCCAAACCTCCCTTCAATGATTGCACCATGTAAAAGAACTACTGGCCTCAACTGCTGGGCATCTAAACCCCTCCAAAAAAATAGGGGTCCCATTTTGGGGGGTTATAGGATTTGCGGCCTATTGGGGTCCCCTATGCATGGGAACTACCGCCTTGCCAAGCAAGGGCAGACAGAGATAGGTCAGGAGGAAGTGGGACAGGTGGTTGGTCTGCATCTGGATGTCGCAACCATCCTCTGTTGCCTTGTCGCCGAAGCCCATAATTCCAGCATTGTTGCCTGTTAGTTTTCTGCCCCCAGCCAGTACCAGCTAGATAGCAATTACGTATCTGATTGCTACATATGGCCCCTAGATGATCCCTATAAAAGTCTGTTGCTCGATGGGGGCAGAACACCAGTTACTTGGTCTATCAATAAACCAGTACTCACGAGCATCAGAACTGTAACTGTCGTAGATGACTGGCAGAACGAAAACTGAAGGTCTGGAATGTGAGACGTACTGTCATTCATAAAGGGGGTATGCAACGGTCTGCATTAAAAGCTTTTGAAAAGACAAGAAAAACCGCCGATCATCTTCAGAAGCTCCCAAGTTGCATAGGACATCGAGCCCGCTTTCGCGAAGCTCTGCCTGCATCTTCTCACCCGCCGCTTGGACGCTCTTGAAGCTCATCAGGTCGCATGCTATGTTCAGAGGCTCCTAGGTGGTTATTGTTGGGACAATACAATTAGAAAACGGTTACGCGTACTCCCTCTGCAAAGTTTTTGAAGTCCGTACAGCTTTGTCTCAAGCGGTCCCCCTGAGAACCCACCATAGAACACAAGAAATAAAATGAATCTGTGTCCTAAACCCTAATCTCCAATTAAAGCCTAAATACGGGCCGACAATTTACTGCGAAGGAATCCATCCATCAGCCCTTCAAACGTCCTTGTTATACATACTTTCTTTTACCATCCGCAGGAAGCTTGTTCCAAGCTTCTCCTCCCATACCCACACACCTACTTTTGTCTACTCTCGCTGTATAGTCTCCCTGACTTTCCCCGGGGATAATGTAGTAGTTTCGATTTTCTTTTCCCCACATTTGCTTTTCCATTTGTTTCTCCATCATACCAAAATCCTCTCTTACAATTACCAAATCCTTTTAAACATAGACCCTATATATTGTAGCTGGACCCCTCTTAGAATTACCAAATCCTTTTAAACAGAAGCCCTATATATTGTAGCTGGACCCCTCTTACAATGACCAAATCCTTTTAAACACAAACCCTATATATGGTAGCTGGACCCAGGCTCGGGGGCGCCGGTGCCCTCTGCTACTTTCTTGATGTCTTTGTAGGCATCAGTCGAGCGCTGCGATTCCTTAGATTTTCGGGGTCCCTGAGCATGGAGAGCGTTGTAGGAAGTAGTGGATTTCAGTAGGCCAGCCGCAAAGAGCCTCGTGAAAAAGCCTTCTATAACGTGCCGGTTCCTGGGAGCCCTGGTGTTCCTGGGATTCTCGTTGGCTTTGGATAGATTCAAATATTGTGTTCACTCAACTTTAAGAAGATGTTCAAACCGATTCGGATTCGATTTCAATTGGTTTAACTTTGTCTTGAAGTGGATTGTAGATAGTTTACATCGATGTTTAATTGGGCTTCCATTGATTGTAAGGGGATTTTGCTTGAATTTCAACGGATTTTCTCTCAACTCGATCTTCATTAGAGTTTCCCTAAGCACTGAAGAATTTCCGTGGGCCTGGATTTTTTATTATTAGGGTGGAAGATGGGGAGGGTAGTGGACGTCGTTACCCCCAAACCCTAGACCCTCCAATGCCCCCAAACCCCTCGTAACCCTGAACCCCAAACCCCCTAACCCCCTAGGATAATCCCCCTTTAATCCCCCTTGAAGTAGATAGAATATGGGATATATGGGGCTCTTATTATAATATACCCAAAGCCATATTCTATCTTAGGAGGACCCCCGACCCTGTAATAGTGGTATAATAAGAATATGAGAGGACCTTAATATAATCCCTATTAGCCCTTATAGTCACTATTACTGGGCGAGGGGTCCACCTAAATTCTATCTACTCAAGGTGTATTATACTAAGAATATAAGAGGACCCTTATATAATCCTATTATCCCTTATAGTCACTATTACTGGGTGGGGGGTCCACCTAAATTCTATCTACTTAAGGGGAACTCCAACCCTAAACCCCAAACCCTAAACAGTAGCTTCCATTTTCTTTTCCATTATCCCAACATAACTCCTGTATAACCCCTATATAACCCCTATATTCTATCTACTTGAGGGGGACTATACACCTCAACCCTAAACCCTAAACAGTAGTTCCCATGTTCTTTTCCATTATCCTATTTAACCTAAAACCTAAACCCTAAACCCTATATCCCCATATTCTATCTACTTAATGGGGACTATACACCTAAGTTGGTCGTGCCAGGCTCTCTGTTCAGAAGGATGACCTTGGCTCCCTTTTGGGCCAAGACCTTCACAGGATGTTGAGAGAAGGATTTAGTGTTTTAAGGGTTTAGGATTTAGGGGTTTAGGATTTAGGGGTTTAGGGGTTTAGGGGTTTAGGGTTTAAGGTTGGAACCATGGGCCCTGGTTGGGCCCTTAACCGTGGGATCCTTACACAACTTATATACCTACCATATGCCCTTTATGTACCATAAGGTCCCTAGAATCCCCGTGAAAAGCCTAAGGGCGCATATTAGGGGCCCATGAAGGTCTTAGGGTTTAGGGGTTAAGGGTTTGAGGGTGTGCCCTAGTCCCAAAACACCTTCAGTTTTAGGGCTTCACGTAGTAATTTGTAGTCCTAAAACTCAAGGTCTTTTGGGTGTGAGGTGAGGCTTAAATTGCCTACGGCCTACGTAGGATTCATAGGATGTAGGGATGTTCAGGTGACCAGGAACTCCATTCTACCCATGATGCGAATTCCAACCAGAAGCAGTTTTTACAATGCCTCAGGCCTCTAGACGGCATGGTGTCTGTCTAGGGGCTTTAAGAGGGACCCTTAATGGGGACCCTTGTAGCTTATTGGGGGTAATTGGGTACTACCTGGTTATATAAGGGGTATACGAGGCCTATATAAGGGCTATATAGGGTATTGGGATTAGGGGTCCCTTCTAGGGGTCCATCCTAATAACCCTTGAGTCTGACCTTGAAAATGCCAGGCTGGAAGGCTTCTCAAGCCTCCCTACACTTGGATGCCCCCCCTCCCGTTGCTCTGGGGAACTAAGAATTAGTTTGCCACAATAGGGTAACAGTGCTATTTACCACGTACCCATTTCATGGTTACTTAATCGAAGTTCCTGAACAGCAACCCAGTACAACCCTAAACCGCAAGCCGTAATCTCTAAATCCTAAACCCTAAAAGACCTAAACCCTAAGTCCTAAACCCGAAGCCCTAAGACGTAAATCCAAAATCCTAAGCCGCACGACCTTGGCAAAGATCTTGCCCGTGCCAGATGTGCAGCCTGTCACAGCGACAACCTTGCCGTTCATGCTCGGCAGACGCTCTACAACACTCCCGAAGCCGTTGCTGCGACCAACCTTTGGGCAAAGTTTAGGGTTTAGGGTTCATTTGTTTTTGCATGCCCCTTTTACCCAGGGTTCAGGGTTTGGGGTTCAGGGTTTAAGGATTCAGGGTTAACCTTCCGACAGGATTCAAGTAGCTTTTTGGTATGTACTTGGCCAGGAAGTAGGTATGAGGGAACTGCTTTGGGCCCTAAGTAGATACCATATACCTACATGGACCCTGTAGGCTTGTGGACAAGATGCGCGCCACACATCCTGAGCCTTCCTCCGATGACATTGAAGGATGATGGATGTAGTATCGGCACTGGTGATGTAGTCATGCCATTTAATGATGAAAATAACACCACACTCACGGCGACGACAACGACTACCCTCATGAAGCAGCAGCCTGAATCCAAAACCATCTCCTCACCATGAGCACATGCCGACATGGACCCGGACCGATGCAAGACAAAAAGAGGTCTCCGAGACCCATGCAACAGCAGTCTGGAACCACAACAAGGCAGCACCGCAAGAGTAGCTGAAGAGCTAGAACTCCATGACCACTGCGAGAGCAATCCAGCGGGACCCCAAGGTCACTCCCAGAGCAAACATCTCAAAATGGGTGGACGCTTCACCCCAGAGCAACGCAACGCTGACAATTCCCTGCAAATTCAACATAAGAAACCACTAGTGCTGACAAGAACGATTTGGGGAACGACTACCGAAAACGGCGCAACTCTTGTCTGACTTCATCCGTGGGGCAGCGTTCCCCATGGCGCCAAGATGCAGAAGGATGCAAAGCAAGGCAGGAAAATGCGAGCCAAACGCTTCGCACATAAAGATCTACAAGGCCCAAGCACTGCTCTTGAATCCCACGCCTTCGTAGGGTATTATCCGAGGGCGCATCCGCAGAATGCAGCGAATTAATGTGTGCATGAGCTTCTGTATGGACTATGTTGTGGAGTTCGTTCTTGTCCACAGGTCATGGACCTCGTAAGAGGGACCAATGCGGAGCACGCCAGTTTAGTAGGCGCAAGACAAACAAACCCTCATTCCCTCAGTCACGTCTGTAAAGTACTTCACGTGCCGCCCCAGTTCGAAAATCAAGTAATGACAGCTCAGTTTCCAATAAGCCCAGTGACCCTCCAGCCCCGGCACACATTGTGCAGAACACAACGTCAATGAACCAAAGCCCTGAGAAGTCATTTTTCGACACCTGAGACCTCAACCCTACACAGCGGGCATAGTGAGACAAGCCGTAAAGTTATTACATGAGCTATAGTCTAAACTCCTAGTATCCCCCTTAATCACCCCTATACTAGCCCCTATATGATCCCTATATAACCCCCTTGAAGGAGTTTAGACTCTAGTACAAAAGCAGGGGGCGAGGTGAAATGCTTGGCGATCAGCTCCTTGGCTCAGGTGGACCATGGATTGTCCAGTATCCGGAAATGAGTACCAGGACTGCAGGTATATGGTCCCCATTTAGGGTATATAGAGGGTAGAAGGAGAGTGTAGGTAGTGATTTTTTGTGGTTGAACCTAGTAAGATTATATTCCTTATATAAAATACTATAACCCAAAAGGAGGATATAATCTTACTCTATAATAGGTACCATAGTATCCCCAAAAGAAATACTACTCAAATGAGGATGTTCGGCTTAGAGCTCAATGGTCATGATCTCGGGAGTAGAGCCACTAAACTATTCTGATTTGGTGACGTTCTTCACACCAAAAAGTGGGCATACCTCTTTCTGGGGTAACTTCTGGGCTAAGACTATAGCTACATGACTGACGGATGATACCTGCATATAAACGAAAGTACTCACATAAACGCATAAAGCAAGTCTTGCATGCGGTGCCCTTAGAATGTGAAGACCTAAACCTAAACTGCTCCAGCTTGCGATCAAAATTCTCGCCACTCCCTCATGGCATTCCCCGTACATTCTCCTGGTATGACCCTGTATCCCAAACGCCTCTTAGAACCCTATGGAACCAACGGCTCTAACTCCTAAATCGCTCAATCCCCAAATGTCCTTGAAATTGCGGCCAAGCTGCCCCGATCCGCGAAATCTTCTGCAAGCGCAACAGCCGCAGAAACCGCATCACTCGAACGATCCGAAGCATACGCACAGAGCCCAGCTCCTACAGTT